GTGCCAGCAGCTTGTCGCAGCTCTGGGTGGCCACGTTGCAGGTGTAGCCCCAGGGGCAGCAGTGCTGGCGGTCCCTGCAGCAGACGGCCTAGGGGGGCAAGAATGGGGGTCTGAGGCCAGCCTGACCCCCCCCGGGGATGCCCAGCTCTGCGCCTGGGGACCCCCAGGGGACAACGGCGCCATCCTGACCCCCAACTCCTGCTCACGTCCAGCAGCGGCCCCAGGGACTGTTCTGGACCCTGTCCCAAGGTGCCCCGAGCTGCCGTGGAGGGCGGGGGGACAGTGATGGAGATGGGATGTCCCATGTCCCTGTCGCCCCCGCCCAGCCCTGCATGTCCCCAAGCCCTTTGCCTCAGCCGCGCGGGGGCCTTGGAGCTGTGTCCCCCTCACAAGGACACTCTGGTCCCCCACAGGTCACAGCCCCGGCCCCCACCCCACTGAGGACACCACCACGTCCTTGTCCCCAGGGCCACGCCAAACCTGCTCCAGCGGGCAGCACCCCCAGGCCCCCGAGCTCAGCCGGCAGCACGTGCTCCCGTCGGGGCAGCTCGTCTCCTCGTCACACTGCACGTTCCCTCCCCGGGCCAGCGCCGGGGTCTTCCGCAGCCAGGGCCGGCGGCCCCCCCCCCCCCGCAGGCAGCCGCCCCCCAGCCTTTCTCTCATATGAAGCCTGATTTCTTTTTTCAAAGCCCCCAGGTATGCACGTATCACAGTAAAAACCCTGCAAACATGTAAAATATTTCTCATAAATATTTGTTAGTCAGCCTGTTACAAGCAGCTTGCATTCTGCCCATTTTTGGGGTTTGATACCACTTCTGTTGTTCCTTCAACCCTCTGCTCTGTCACCTTTCTATGGCACACTCAGGACAAATTTTTAGCTCCTGATTTTCAAACCTACCAGCTCAGAAGGATTCTTTCGCTCAATGTCCGTCTTGTAAAATAAACTGAATATTGATAATTGAATATTAAATATTGATCATATTTAAGATCCTCCATTCAAAACCCTCTCCTCATCTGTGGAAAAATCTTGGGAAGTGAATTGTGTCCTTTCGTGACATCAAAAACATTTCTGTCTGAACAAAGCTTCAGAATAGCACCTGAGAAAAGATGGTATCAGGCTAACGGAGGAGTTAGTACGCTAGCATATAACACTCAGAAATTTATTCAGAACATATTAAGGTGTTCCTTCTGTATCAAAATATCAAACACAGAGACAGTTTCATTCTGATTTTATCACTACTTTGGAGGAAAAGTTTTTCATTTGTTAAAATATGCTTGCGTAGGTGAGAAATGGTTTT